TGTACTCAGATTTTATCCCACTTGACATCAGAAAGTTACTTTCTTATAATCTTAAGCATGTTCCTTTGAGTGGAAACTAAGTTTCTTTAAAAAATATTTCCCACTTTTTGCTACATAATCATATAAGATCTAACATATATATGATACATCAGTGATCATGTATGTATCAAAACAATGCTTTGTCTTGTCATCCAATTTGAAAAAAAAAGTAAGTCAGAACTGACAATGTTATGCACCCTTCAACTGGGTTTTCATTCTGTAGGCTTGACTGGACTCTTTTGTCCATGTTTATTGTTCGGTCGAAATGTCGAAAGGCTTAATGAAGAAATATCCCAAAGAGGGGCATGCTTTGGCCATGTAATTTGTGTTGAAGGTGGCATCACTCTTGCTGTTGCGACAGCAGCATTGCATGGCGGCATTGATCCCCATACAATGTGCCTCATTACCGAGGGCCTACTCTTTGCGTGGTGGGTCTGTGGCATCTATACAGGCATGGGGAGGCAAGCATTGCAGAGAAAATACCATCTAAAGGTGACCCAAATTTTCTTGAATGAAACAATGAAATATGCAGGAAAGATCGGCCATTTTCTGCGATATGTACATCTTACACATACTCTCTTCAACTAAGTAAAAAATCTTTGACAATTTGCAAAGCCGATTCGTAACTCTGTCTGGGATTGTGTTTCCAGGATGCACCTTGTGACCCATGCTTGGTACATTGCTGCTTCCACTGGTGTGCTGTGTGCCAGGAGCACAGAGAGATGAGGAATCACCTGGCTGAAACCACTCCATCAGTAGTAACCATTGTAGAGCCGCCACCCGTTCAACAGATGAGTGCTGGCGCGAAACAGGAAGCAGAATCTTCGTCGGGCAAAGAAATCGTTAGTGCGAGTAATTCTTAAAACTTGGACAGAAGTAGTAGTTCTTGCTGCTGGCTTTGTTCATGGAACCCTTTCAAACCAAATAATTACCTGAAAGTATTTCTGTCCAATGGTCAATAGTTGAATTTGAAATGAAAGACGAAGAAAGAGGTTTCTCTCTTTTGCTCTCTAACCAGATACAAAAAATCATTTTCCGTATCATTTTCTTTTCCATATTTTTTGATCAAACATTGGGTTAAACAGTGTTTCGAAACTAGAATTCATTTGAACTCTTGAATTCCAAATACTCCCTCCGTCCGAAGATGTTCTTCCCATTTGACTTTTCTTGATCAAAATTTGTAAACTTTGACTCCGATATGTGGAAAAAATACATTATATCATGGTATACCTTTAATATCAATATATCCCTAATGAAACCTAGTTTATCCCTAATGAAACCTAGTTTTCAAATATCAAATTTTTATAAAATTTATTTATGTATAAATAAAGATATTAGTGGTCAAAGTGCAATTTTGGAGACCGTAAAAAGTCAAATGGAAAGAATATTTTCGGACGGAGGGAGTACTAAAGTTTGGGTCTGGAAATCAAATTACAAGGGGAGGGGAGTATACGAATTTGCAATTGGTTTTTGTTTGAAATTAGTGGAATTTGGCCTCTTTTTTTTGGATTTTAAAATATGTAATTTGTGTCAAATTTGAATTAAAATCTGAATTTAAGTTTCAAAATAGACTACCAAATATGTAATTTGTGTCAAATTTGAATTGAAATCTGAATTTAAGCTTCAAAATAGACTTTCCCAAGATAATCATCTCGCTCTATTATTCATGGGTGAAACTTTTTCTTCTTTCCTTATTATCATTAACTATTTGTAAAAATAACATGCTCGTGTCACTACTTCATAAAAAATCAATGTATTTTTTTCAACATTAATTTTTTTTAAATTTTTATACCATTTCTTAAATAAATTAAATTAAAAATAACTTCAGTCAAACTTCATTAAACGTAAAAAGGTGATTATTTTGAGATGAAAAAAATACTATTTATTTCCTTTTTAAATTAAGAAAATAAAGCTCATATAATATCAACAGACCTAGGGTATAGCAAAAATGTCTAGCCCAAGAACAGAATGACCCATTTCTCACTTTCTTTTTTGGAATGTCCAAAAATTATCTTCCGGTTTATTTTGCCAAAAAATTGGATTAAAATGCCTATTTTACCCTACTTTTCCGTACCATCTTCCTCTCATACAAACCTTCTCCCATCATCACATTTCTTCTACTATCTCAATTTTATAGGTCTCTACTCTCAAAGGGATGTTTCTTTTTTTTTTTTTTCCATGTATTCTTCTTTCATCCACAACCATCTACAGGGGCAAAGGCCCACTGCATCCGATGATAATTGCAGCGCTATTCTGATCTCTGCAATTGCAACGGTGGAGTTCCAATCCCGGCGATTGCGGCGGCGAGATCTTGTTGAGTTTACCGCAATTGTAGCGACAACGTTCCCAACGAGAAAACAATATGCTACACCTCCATTTTATCATTTCTGTTTTCCCTCAACACTTATATTCCAAATTTTAAAACTCACATCATTTCTCTCAAATTTTAAGACTCGTGTGTCGTGTCTTATCATATCTCCAAAACTGATCAAAGGAGCCATTAATGCAGCAACACAATTTTCATTACAAGTATAGGGTGACTCAACTCTCCATCCCAAAATGAATTCTCATTCTCTATTTACTTTGTTCACTTTTTTAAATTTTTGTTATTCATGTAATAAAAATCATGTCACATTTTATTTCATACAACTTTTGCTATAATTTCAAATAAATTGAACTGAAAATAACTTGAATCAAACATGGTAAAGTAACCCGTACATTTCATTTTTAGACAGAGGGCAAATATTTCTGAATAAAAATTATAAAATATTTAATGCTCTGCATAAATTTAATACCAGAAAACAACGTAAATAAATTGTAGAATCAGGATTGTGTATGGCAAACTCTAAGGGCAGGGGGGTTCCTATCAAAATGTTAAGCTTTCGAAGCACAAACCTTGAACTTCTATAAACTCCCTTTGTTGTTGTTGTGGGTCTAAAGCACACTCACTCAGTATCAGACTCTGAGAATTCCATTTCATAAGCATCTTTTGGCAGGACATCAGTTATTGAAGGCGGTATCAGTTGGTTTCTCGGCAGCTGCTTCATTAAGTTTGGCCTCTCCCTCTCCTGGGGACGAACAGCAACCATTGAGGATTGAGAAAAAAAATAGAGCGTAGAGAAAATCAGAGAAATGACTCAAGTACAGACCTTTGGTTTTGGCTTCCTTGTATCTTTTGGTGAACCATTTGTCTGATTTGCATTACTTGACTGACTTCTACGAAGCCAAATGTGACCGAACGACACCAATGCTCCCAGAAGTAAGATGGGTCCAATCCTTGGGTCCCCTAGGTAATCATGAATTTGGTTCACAAAACCTTTGACCTTTGGCTTAATTCCATTGGTAGGTGCAAAGATTTTTTCAGAACCAGTAGACCAAATGGAATTTGCATCCTCCGGAACCAGCTCGGGGGTTTTGGTTTTCTGAAAAACACAAAATGCTTGAGGATAGACGATGAAAGCAGACATACTTTGGCATATGTATACTCAAAATCAGTAAACAATGGAATGGAATGTTATTCAGATCGAGAGACCCATAGCACATTACAGAACCTGAGATACGACTTCAAGCATTAAACCCTACTGTACTAACAAATGCCAAAGGAAACACATTCCAAAGCATTGGCTCAGATTGGCATTGATTTAAACTAGGTGGATTTTATTACGGTTGCTGAGAAGAGACTAATTAACAAGTACACATCTAATACAAAAGGAAAGATTAAAGGCATCTCCCAGTGCTCTAAAAAATCTGGGCTGGGATGTGGCGCCCTAATGGAAACATCCCTAATCACCCATGACCAGAGAAATCTTCTATGACATTAGGCAGCTACCTGCTACCCTAATTTATTTAATTGTTTATTTTTAAAAAACCTTCTTTAGTTTGATATTACGTGAAAAATTTACAATTCTTTGAGCCAAGAGAAACCTAGTCTAAAACCAGTTTTAGTCTAACCTAAATGCCAGTAAACCAATTGAATTGCTTGGAACATCGGAATGGCATTGGATTGTTGGGTTTACATTTTATAAACGTGTAATGTGATCATTAAATTTTCTATCATTTGATATATTCTTGTATAATATGATATGTACATATGCTTGATGAATTTGAAGGTACCCTGCTTCCGAAATTAGTTATATTATAAAAATAAGATGCTGAAAATCAAGTTAAATATGCCTTGGTTTTATGTGCCACCTAGGCTCTGCCTAGTTGCTTTTAGAATCTTTGTCTCTCGCCATCCAAAAGAAATTATGACACCGGAGACATCTTACATATGGTTTGATGCAATGACTGCCTTTTATAAGACATCAATGAAATTAAAAATGTATTACAAGCAGAAACTACGTCATCAAAACCAGGTATAGTCCTAATTTTGTTGGGGTCTAAGAGTTAAGATTGTGCAACATAGAAGTTGTTTCAGTTAGGCCCTTGATGCATGGCTCCATTTACAACAAAAATCCTCATAGAATGTAAGAAACAAAGGATGTTTAATGTGTCATTTCGATTTAGTCTATTGTTTACCCGAAGTTAATACATTGTCAACAATGACTCTTCAAGCTCCATTGGCAGTAGATACAAATGGAAGCAGAAACTAAACCACATAGAAGTCCAAAGTAAGAAATTAACTTACAAAAGATGGTAGATCGTTATAGTCTCCATTTTTAATAATCTCAGATATCCATTGTATGATCTGTCAACCAAAATATGAAATGGTTCACGGTGAGAAAATTTGAAAATAAAAATATAGTAATGAGAACCATGTCATATTGCATAGAGTCTATCTCAAGTGGGTGAAGTGGCTAAAAGGGAAAACAAGAAAGTAAGATGCTCCCTCTGTCCTTTAAAAGTTGTTCCTTTCCAAGGTGCAATATTCTCTCTTTTAAAATGATTTTATATAGAAATAGAAAGTACAACTTACATATTTAAACCATACACCAAAAGGTTTTACAAACAAGTGTGACATGAAAATTTTATGTTATCATATGATCAATGAAAACACATACACAAACAAAAGTTATTGAAAGTCTAGAATGGTAATAAGGCCATTTTATTAGAGACGGACATAGTATTTTTTCTTATTCTTAAACTTTTACTACCTCCGTCCCTGAGTATTTGTCCAGTTTTGACTTTTTTCAGTCAACTGTTTTTAACCTTTGACTTATAATTAAATAAAATATATATTTTATATTAATTAGATAAATTAATATTTTGAAAATATTGGATGTAAAAAAATCTAATAAAACTATTTTTGTATCAATATCTAATATCATTTTTTATTTAATTTGAGGACAAACTTTACCAATTTTGACCGGAAAAAGTCAAAAGTGGACAAATACTCAGGGACGGAGGGAGTACAATATATTATGTAGGGAGTACAATATATTATGTAAGACCTATCCTGTATACCTTCATATATTATGTCAAGTGTATGACCTATCCTGTATACCTTCTTATATTTTCTCATTATTCTTTTCGTGTAAAAAAGTTCCCCACATTAGTGGAGCCCTACCTATGTGTTCCCAAATGCTTAGGGTCAGTTGGAGACCATATTCTCCATTATGAGTAATGTTTCCTCTTTTTAGTTGTTAGTTTCTTTTTAAATAGATGCAGGCTATGTTAATGCTGGACATCAGGAAATATACAATATCATCTAGAGATTCTCTTGGCTCCCAATATACTTGCTTTATGAGATTCTTATAGAGAGAGTGAGTAGAAGAGAAACACTTGTTCTTATACACAAACTCTGACCGGAATGTCAACAAAAATGTTCTTGTGGTTGTATCTCTGTTTTCAATTTATTTATACTAACCTATTATGATAGGTTTATAAGATTTAAGATCTAAGGTTGAACAAACTAATCGATTGGATTCAATCTTTTAGTGTGGTTTAACTCAAGTGCTTTCTAGCATAGTCGAGTGCTTCCACACAAAACGTGTAAGACACATTTTCTTGGCTATTGTATAACTCCATGTACCCGCTGGGGGAGCTTGGATGGGAAGAAAATCCCAAAGTTGGTTGCATAAGTTCAGGAAAACAAGGTACGTGGACTGTAGTGACGAGGAGGATAGGGTGGCTCTCAGTGAAATTTAAGATTGCCTGTAAGGAAGCTAAGATAGAGGTTACAAGAACGAAAAATGCAGTGGCAATAAAAGGTTTTTTGGCTAGCTAAGGCGCGTGAGAAGAAGGCTCAAGATATGGAACCTGTGAGATGTGTGAAGGCCAGCAATCGCAGAGTGTTGTTGGAAGCAGCAGAGGTGTCAAACCGCTGGGGGAGATAGGGAAGCCAGAGAGACATTGGGACTTTGGGTATTTTCGGCACATTCGCTAGGAGGAGGTGGCATGGGCCATCTGTGGGATGAGAAACGGGAGAGCCTTCGGGCTGGATGAGATTCTTGTAGAGTTTTGGAAGTCTGTGGGCAACCGTGGGTTGGTTTGGGTAACCAAGCTCTTCAATGTTATTTTCAGGATGACTAGGATACCTGACAAGTCTAGGGAGAGTGTGCTGGTCCCATTGTACAGGGGTAAAGATGATATTCAAAGTTGTGAGAATTATAGAGGCATCAAACTTCTTAGCCACACACCAGGAATGTTTGGGGCGTGTCATTAAGGCTAGGCTGCAGAATGAGGTGTGCATTTCCAAGAATTACTTTGGTTCATGTCTGGCCGATCAACCATGAAAGCCATTCACCTCCTGCAGAGGTTGATGAAAAAATATAGAGCTGAATGGGAGTGTCTATTACCTTTTTTGCATGCATTCTCTATGCTTTCTGTGCTATCCATGTTACTTGAGCTGGGGTCTCTTGGAAACAGCCTCTCAACTTTCGAGTAGAGGTAACGTCTGCATACACACACCCTCCCCAGACCCTACTCTTGTGGGATTCAACAAGGTCGTTGTTGTTGTTGTACTAAGCTAAGAAACATTCTACTACACTACCAGACTTAAGTACCATAGTGATAATATAATTACTATATACTCCTCATGTCCCATAAAAGAGCCTCGTTTCTCAACATATTTTTGTCCCAACAAAAAGAGTCGATTATGAAGCAAAGAGGCTAACTTTTTTATATTTGATGTTTTTAATTAAAAAAAGATTATTGCTAAATTCACCCCTCATTTGGCTTATATCCACCCAACTTATATTACAAAGGCATGTTTACCCTTAACTTTAAAAATGAAAGCAAAGAGGTGAAGGACACAATTGTCCATTTATTATTAAATGGAGTGGATATAGGCAAATGAGGTGTGGATTTAGCATCATCCTTAAAAAAACATGCCAAACAGGATGAATATGTTATACTACGTATTTAGTTAAACCAACATATAAAGTTAAAATATAGATTATATATTTAACAATTTTTTTTTACTTGTTCTACTGCATAAAAAGGTATATAGTTAAGAGTCTTACAACCTTTTTACTTCTTACTAAAAGGAAAAGGTTCTATATATTTGTAAAATAGGGCTCTAATTATTGTATGAAGGGAGTATAAGGGAAGAGAAGGAAAGAAAGGGATGTCAGTTGAAACTGAAATCAACTAATGCAGCAAGTAATTTTAAGAAAGAACAATCACCAGCGCAGAGGTTCTCACCTCTGGAAGTTTATTTGGACCGCTATAATGTGCGACAAGTTGGGAAGCAGAATCAACATCATCAGCAAGCAATGCTTCATAACGGTTTTTAGGTGGATCATCATTATTTTCATTGGTAGCATTCCTTGAATAACGAACAATAAACATCTTTGCAACATTGGTAATGTCATATCTAGGTCCACATGTATCATAACTACTTTCCGAGTTGATATAAAAGAAGCAGTATCTCTGTCATTCCAGAATATGATGAATGAGAATTACTTCAACATATACATACATATAAATACATGAATACGCACCCACAAAGTGGTTGTGTATAAATATATAAACTTGAATAAAAGAATGATATTATTACCTTTTGCTTTTCTCCATCGAGCCAAGTAAATGTCAACCGTTTCTCTTTCAGAGCAAGTTCTGCTATAGTTGAGAGAGTATCTTGATCAACTGTATCTAAATCTCCATTTGACAGTGTTTCTTGCACCCTGCGCATGGTCTATTAGTATGGGTTAGGTGGTTACATTAACTTCATGAATAAATTTTATATGAATGCATTTTAGTGCTTATTTACAAATCTTGAGCATCTTGGGAGAGTTTTTAATAGTGTGTCCTCAATCCCCGAAAAAACTAACTAAAGACAACGAACACCAATACGTTCAACTCCCTCTTTCACATAAAGAACATTACTCTTTTGATTCCATGGAGTTTGAGAGAAGTGTTGAAAGGAAAATGTGGTTGGAATTTGTTTAACAGAAAGAATTTTGTAAGCAACATATTCCATTCCTTAAAAGGAAAAAGAAGTGAAGTTTTTTGGGACATCCATAGAGGAAAAGTGTGAAGTTCTTTATGGGATGAAGTTAGTATTTTCATCTCTATTATCATGATTACTACTTAGGCTATGTAACCAAAAGATATGACCATAGAGATGGTGCATGAAGCAAACATTGCCCTTGTGTGAAACAACCAAACAGGTTCTCAGCTCTTAAAAGTTAACGTGAAGAAGGTGCTCACTTCACGCATTTCATTAAGTTCTTGGCTTTGCCTTCCAGCTAGAACAACACAGTACCAAACCTTCGTGTCATTACCAGCACGAGAAAAGCCCCGAGCATCACAGCCCAACTCCATTGAAGTTGCACTCCTCAATTGGGGAAGCACTGAAAACAAAAGAAACAACCAAGGAATAGTGTCACTTTCCACGCTTAAATCTAATCGAGGTAGGCTTGTATGAACCAAGCTTGAAGTCCATAAAGATAAGCACAATTTCCATGAGATATGTATGGGACAAATTGCACGACATACAAAGAATTCTTCACCATTAAAAAAGATAAGTTCTTCAATAGGAATTGCAGATCACCTGCTTTCACGTTCATCTTAACTGTTTATACATGCAAACACGGATATTGGTAAGAATCCGAGTTAACACGGGATACTTATTTCTCCCTCCATCCTTATTTAATCTTCCTAGTTCGGCTTATAATGTTTTGGTGAAGGTATTCCCAATTTAATTTATGCAAGTATTGGTGAAAAGTTAAAAGTTACAATTTATATATTTAAAAACTACATCAAAATTTTTGCAAAACAAGTGGTGACGTAACCATTCTATTTTATCAAATGGTCAATAAAAATATGTACAAAAAAAGGCTATAGTCTGACCCTATGAATTGTAAAAGACTAAAGGTGAAAAGGGACAGAGGGAGGGATTATTAATTGTTGGAATACTGTTTTTCTTGTAGGAGTTTTATTATGTTTTATGTGTTGCTGATTTTAAGGATATAATATGGTTACTGGTTAGGATAAGATTAGTCTGTTATCATCTCTAATTTTTTTTCGATTTTCAGTTATCTTATCTTTGAGGTGTAATCAGACTCTATGAAGTCTGATCTATCTCTAGTACTTCCATAATTGAGAAATAAACATATAATTATTTTCAATGGGGGATTCTCAATTGTTGGCAATTGAGAGTTATTGGGTGAGATCCTCGCTAAATTCTAAAAACATTCTTAATAGATTTTATCGTTTCTTTTCCACTTTCGTTACAATCACTTTGGTATTAGAGCCTCGTTCAAAAAAATGGTGAGTACTTGTTCCAATTCCCCTAACACTAATGATCTTGTGGCTTCCTCTGACCTCTTCTGTTACTGCACCAGACAATCAGACATATTGGCCATCATTGTTGCTCGACTTGAGACCTTGGATGTCTCGGTAAATAAGGTGGCAACCCTTGAAGCAGCGTCAGAAGGTGCTGCTAAGCAAGACAAAGGCAACAAACATTCTCATCAAGGTGAGGACCGCACTGACGAATCTGAGGTATCCAGAAGAGGTTCAAAGCCACCTGCAGCGAAATCAAATTTCCAAATTTAGCGGAGGATATTCCCAAAGTTGGATATTGAAGGGAAAAAATATTTCAGGTATTAATTCCTAAAGTTGGAAATTGAAGGGAAAAAATATTTCAGATATTACGGAACCCCTGAAGGTGACAAGGTTGATGGTAGCCTTGATGTATCTTGAAGGTGACACACTGGATTGGTTCTTTTGGCTGAACTCTGAGCAGATGATGCTTTACTGGGACAAGTTGGTGAAGGTATTCCAGCGCATTATGGACCTCCAAGATGCCAATAGCCAGATGACCTTTGCAGCATCAAGCTAAATGATTTGGTTCAAGAATCTAACAAGAGTACACAAAGAGGGTTGCTCGAGACGCCTGAGGGTCTAAATGATAAGTTGGAAGTGTGGCAGTAGACATTGAAAGCCAAAGGTTTGACTGAGTATGTGATATGACTCTGAATAAGACTAAGCCACTGCTTACTTATCAGTGGCGCAGGAATAAGCATTTGACTTAGTCATGTTTTATGACTTGGTCATGTTTATTTATTTATTTATCTAAATCTTAGTCTATCCCTTTAAATTAGTAATTGAGCCAGTCAAAGTTTTTAGTCATTTAAAATATCCATTTTTATTAGCAATTGAGTGGGTCAAAGTTGTTGGAGTCCGTTGAAATAATTGTGGGATAATGGGATCACTATCTAAACCCAAGGAGTCAGTTTCTCTTTTCTGTTATTTCCCTTGTATTAGTGCACTATTCATACCCTTACCCAGTTTATGCTAAAGGGGAGGAGAAATATTATGATTTATATTTCCAGAGATTCTATTGGGCTTCTTAGTCTCAATAAATTGAGATTCTTGATTTAAAGAGATTTAGAATATTTGTTCTTGTATTTAGTTTCCAGTTTTTGGTATCTATCATTTTGGTATCAGAGCCTAGATCTTTCCCAACTATGGTAAACAATCAATCTTCCGCAACTGATGGCAATCCTGATGTCGGCAACACCCTAGCATAACAGAGTGATACCTTGGCCGCCATCGCTGCCCGACTGGACATTCTGGACGAGTTACGAGACAAAGTAGCAGCTTTAGAAGTCCACAACCGCAATTCAACAACAAAGAAGAAGAAGATCTATGCTGACGATTCCGAGGAGGAATCAGAATCTCATTCACAGCGACACTTCCGGCTTCTGTATGCAAAAATTGAGTTTCCCAAATTCTCAGGAGGTGACCTGCGTGGTTGGAACCGTTGGATTTTGAAAGCAGAGAAATATTTTCGGTACTATGAAACACCTGATGAAGAAAAGGTGGACATAGCGTCGATGTATCTTGAAGGAGATGCATTGGACATGTTTTCTTGGGCTTTATCGAAAGTACCGTACAGGGATGAATTGGTCAAGATATTGCATGAACAATACGGACCTCCCGGATACCAAAATCCAGATGAGTACCTCGCATCCGTTCAACAGGTGGGAACTGTCCAAGAATATCGTGTGGAATGGGTGCGACTGAGTAGCAAGGGTGAAAAATTGGCCCGATCACTGCCTGCTCGGGATTTTCCTGAACGTATTGAAGGAGGAATTGCGCTCTGAGGTGAGAATACACAAAATGGGGTAGCTGAACGCAAAAATCGACATCTGCTTGAAACTGCACGGGAACTCTTGTTTCAATCAAAAGTCTCCATGATATTTTGGGCTGATGTCGTTGCCACGGCATGTTTCTTGATTAACCGCCTTCCATCGAGTATCCTTGGATGCCAGTCATGATTGCAGTCTCTTTCCAGTCCCACCAAAGATTTTTGGGTGTACATGTTTTGTAAGGGATGTTCGTTCATGTGTCACAAAGCTAGATCCAAAATCCTTGAATGGCATCTTTTTGGGGTACTCCCGGGTCCAAAAGGGATATCATTGTTATTGTCCTAGTCTTGGTCGATATCTTGTCTCCATCGATGTGAGCTTCCATGAGCATGTTCCTTTTCCTTCACCTACAGATTCTGTAAATGAAGGGGAGGGTTCTGATGACATTTTATTCTACACTACCTCTAATACTACAATGCCCTCTGTTGGTGTTTTAAGTTGGGGGTCTCTTGGAAACAAGCTATTTACTTCCAAGTAATGGTAAAGGTCTCCTCTGTGTACACACACCCTCCCCGGATGGCCATACCCCACTTCTGCGGGATTCTATTGGGTTTGCATGTTCTTGTTGTTGTAAGCAACATTACAACAACCCTGTTGAATTTCACCAAATTTGGGGAGGGTGTGTGTATGCAAACCTTACCTCTACTCGAAAGTAGGGAGGCTGTTAGTAACACATGCAGCAAGTAAGCAACATTGTGCCCACAAAATACCACTCAATCAAGAATGTTATCTGAATATGATAATGAATTTGTAGAACTGTAATATAATGACATGTTAACTGCTATGTAACTTGATCGAAATCTTGAAATAAAAAATAACAATCATATCTAAGAAGGGAATGATTAATAATGAATCTTGTTTATAAAATAAATAAACAAACAAATAAATAAAGTCAGCATAAAAGAGAATATACCAACAATTCACCATCATAGCATAATGACTGAATTTCTCAGTAATTCTAATTTATGAAATCCAAATGAACTACAGCTAAAGGGACCAACATCAAGTCTACCGGATGCATCCATAAAGGTGGGAAGTATAATACCTTGATGTTTATTCTTCTCCAGAATATCGGCAAACATTGAATTATTGATATAGCCTACAATCAACCAATCATATTTAGTTTTTAGCATATCTTCCCAGACATGACGGCACATCATAAGTTAATAAACAGATCCTAGCATGCAATGTAAGGAAACTTGCCATGGTAAACAACTGGTGTAACCCCAGCTTCCTTCAGGAAAACCAAGCCAGGAGCAGACTCTACCCCAAACCTATTATTAGAAAAAAAGTCATCTTAGTATCCTACTACATTTCCATTAAAGATGTTTAGGTCAAGAAACGCTTTCTTTTCCATTCTTTACATACTTCCTTTGTTTTCTATGGGCAATACAAAGTTTTAAAAAACACATAGGAAATCTTATCAGGTGTACAGTTTTCACTACTAGCAGACAAAATGCGGCAAAGGCTAATCAGATGAATCTGCATACATATTCAACCATAAAGAAGATTCGCTTTCCTGCCAATATACAAATGCAAAATCAGCAAAAGCTAAGTAGCTTTTAGCTGCATGGCGAATAATTGGGGAAGCACGTTCTCCTGTCTTTGAGAAAAAGATAACCTTGACCTGTGAGAGAACAATATAAGATGATAAGGGAGCAAGCATTCAAAAAAAATTAAGGCACCTTACGACAAGGAAATAACAGGACGTGTGTGGAGTGGAGACTAGTAAGCATCATATTATGAAGAAAGAAGCCATATAGATTAAGTAATGCTATTCTAAAACAAATCATAAAAAACCCAATAAAATTTCCTAACCCATTGGGTCAGGGGGTCGAGATGTAAGCAGTCTTATCCCTATAAAAATAGAGAGGTTTCAGTTAGATCCTAGATGCATTGCTGCATTTATTCCCCAAAACATTTTTTAGGAAGCAAGTTATGTTTAATGTTTCATATTAAAGGGAAGGCATTTAACAAGTCATTGAAAATAAGAAAATCTAGAATTCCATATAAAAGGGAAGATATTTACAAAAATAGAAACAATGCAATGCATAAGTGTAATACACGTGGTACACCAAGCCCATTCTCTAAGGTATACACAAATATTAAGTGATATAAGTAATAAATTAGACTGAACCACACACCTAAGTGATTGCATAACCAACAAATTGGAGCATAACATAGTTTCTATTTCAATGTGACATGTAAGGCTATGAACAATGATTGTGTTTCACATTTTGACCTTTGGTAGGGAAGTAGGAGTTGAATTAGAATAATAGTACCTTATGTGGTTTGGTGTTTGCAAGAAACTTTTGTGCCTGAAATTTCAGAGAAATGCACCATAAGTAGAAGAAAGTGTAAATTCTATAAATAGTCCATTATAACATGTGGTTTTCCATATTTAGTCTCCAATTCTAAGATATTACATTTGTGGTCCTCAATTTCTGAAACCTATTCAATAATTAATTCTTTAGGTCAAATATGAGCAAATATGTTTTCCACTTAGTCCCCAAAGGAATGATAATGGAATAGTTTTCAAAAATTGAGGACAATGAATGTAATATCTTAGAATTCGGGACTAAATATGGAAAATAATTGTTGCAAGAGACCATTTATGAAAATTACTCTAAAAGAACCCAGTAGAATCCCACGAAAATATGAAGGGTGTGTGTACTGTGCACGCAGAACTTTCCCCTACTTGTAAGTAGAGAGGTTGTTTATTAGAGACCCCACAACACAGAACACACACAACCAAAAAAAGAAAACAAAACATGATTATTAAAAATACCAATCAATATGTAGCCAACTGGTATTTGTTGCCAAACCCCTCTGTAAATATGCATAGAAAACTTCAATATAAAAAACATGTTCATTTTTTACTTCAGAAAGTTTGTTCTCAAATCTCAACCAATACCAAAAAGAGTTGCAGTGTCAAGATTTTAATAATAATAAAAAAGCTAAAAACACCCCAACTTAAACAAGAAAGAAAGGAAAAAATAGCTCAAAGAGTTCTACGGTCAGTTGAATGTATTAAGCAAAGCAGATTCTTTACACATTGTGGACATGTATGAACACTTGTGAGAAATTTCCACGACCTTAAAATAAAATTTTACCCTTACTATAATAAACTAAAATAGTGTTAAAGCTTCTACAATTGTGTTCTGTGTACTACCAATGATTCTTTCCAGTAATATGGGATACGTGGCAAGTTAAGAATGAATGTTGCAACCCAATCCGTAACCGCATCAACAGATAGCTGTCCTTCATACCTATCAATATTAAAAATTATGTCCCTCAATGACATACAAACAGAAAATGCAGTTTTGAGAAAAATTGCAATTTTGGTATCAAAGAGTACACCTAGTTGCAATTTTGGTTTCGAACTTTTCAGAGTTATCAAAACATGTACCAAACTTTGTCTTTTCTTGCAAAAGACAAACTCCCATCAATTTCTAAATAACAATGATCACATGGGGCAAAATTGAACCCCAGATAATTTTCTTCCCAACATTCATTTGAGACTATATGCTTAAAAATGGGGTTGATTCTAGAGAATTTGTGTAAGGGGAGAATTTCTTATTCAATATCCACCCAATCTAGAAGTGCTGAAACAATTATGGTAGAGCATTGAAGGAGTAGGCCGCGGCCTCCAAATTTCCAAGAAAGAAGTGTTGTTAATATTTTTGTATTTCATTGTTTCATAGTTATTTGCAGCTTTAAAAGCTAACCAATGATATGGCTTTAGATAGGATTGCTTGGAGGGTGGTAGGTTAGGCCTTGGTGGGAGTGGTCTATCCCATAGTCACATAAATCGCGGTACGTTTCGGTACGGGTACGCGGTACGGGTACGAAATTCGCTAGAGGTAACGAATTCGGTACGAAGGGGGGTAGGAGGTTTATTTCGGTACGAAATGGTACGAAGCGGTACGGTGTACCATGTATTTGGTTCGGCGTACCAAAAGTCAAAACATAAGTAAACAAAAATAGATAAGATGAGCATAAGTGCTTTATTATTTTTGCCAAAAGCCATTGAAAAAAGAGAGAAACAATTGAAAAGTTGAGACTTTAGGTTAGGTTGTGTGGTGAGACTTGAGAGGGTGAGACAATATATATATAAATAATAAGGAGACGGCCTAGGAAAAAGAAATACAGAGTATTTACGGAGAGAAGTATGGAGTTATGGGGGAACAATCTTCGAAACGTACGGAGACTTAGGAACAACTCACGCGAAACTTGGGGAAGTGCAATCGCGAATTGGAACTTTTCAATTTACGGAGACAACAATCTCGAATTGGAAGAGGGAAGGTCGGAAGAGAAGAAGTCGCGATTTGGATCGCTAGACCGCCAGCGATTGGTACTCCACTTTTTCCGACTTGGTGCGACGTACCTGGGCATTTGGATCGTCGTACCATCGCGAATTGGAGCGCCGTACCATAGCGATTTGGATCGCCGTACTGGCTGCGATCGAATCGCTGGCAACTTGCGATTGGGTACGACTCGTACCAATTCGGAAATCGTGGCTCTGGGAACGAATTCTGTAACTATGGTCTATCCATGCACAGGCCTTGTGTGCATGACTTTTTTATGTACCTTTCTTTCTTATTTTCCTGACATCCTTTACTGGTTGACTTTTTTCTGGATTCTTGTGTTTTGATCTAAGGGGACTCTTGGAAACACTATCCCTTCTTTCGAAGTAGGGCAAGGTCTGCGTACACCTACCCTTTTTAGACCCCACTTCGTACAATTTTATTGGGTTTGTTGTATTATTATTCCATTATTTATGTTGCGCGGAAAGCAGGTTTGTTGCTAGTATCCACCATAGACGAATTATTTTGTTTTTAATTTAATTTTTTGAAACACACGCGGAATCAGCATTCTATGTAGCGCCCCTAGCACCGCAAATGGAAATTTATTTTTATTTTAAATGTAAAAGATTTGTGGCGACTTCCATTTAACTAGTTCCAAAATCCTCGACAAAAATATATTGTCCGTCCGTTAATGAACTTCAAACTTTCCATTTCATGCATCCCTAACTAAAGTTTATGTTGCTCACAATATTTCTCTTTTGTCTACACAAATTCAAAGTTCTAACCTTACGTATTTCACTTATCAACATTTTTATCCTTGAAAACAATCTGCCAATTTTATTAAGGAATGAGGGATTATGTTTATTTTAAACATGTGTGATGGTTTTTCATACCATTCAATTTTTCTTAACTCTAGCCAAGTTGACGGATATGTTGCATGCACAAAATTCATGTCATTAACACAATATTTGGCACCTTTTTTGCAGCTCTAAGAAGTTTGGGACCAAAGTTTTAACTAGGTTTAAACTGTAGTCCCAAAATTGCAATATTCTCTACAATGTTGTGTTTAAAAAAAACACATGTTACACAAAAATGACCATTTAGAAGTTTAATCACCACATAAAAAGCCTCAAAGTTACTACTAAGGCTTCTTGGTAAAACAACCTCTCAGGCTTGGTGAATAGGAGAATGGATCAAAAGGAACTTACCTATGAAGACATTTCAAACTCTTACAGCCTGGGGGGAAAGCCAGAAGTGCAGGAACTCCTGCGTGCATACGAAAAAAATCATGTGAATATTGACAAGTATTATAAGCTATCTTGTGGTGTATTTGTATGAATTTTGTAATAACAGGTTTTACCAAATTAAAACAAAAGACAGCTTTGAAAAAAAGGAGGGAAAACAATCACTGCAACTCACAATATAATTTTTTTATCAACAAATTTGATAATGATTTTAACCTAAAAGAATTATATTCTAGTTGCAGTCAAACCTGAAAAATAATAAAAATGAAGAGTTGAAGAGTCAATATTCTCATAGTCAGGCCCCCATAATTTTGGAATATTACTATACATTTCAAGTTTAAACATTTTAGGCTTCTCTATGTATGCACCTGTGTGTGTGGTACTCTGGTTTAGATAGGCAGTTAGGGTATTTCTGTACGTATTTTATGCATGAATGCACATACAAAGAGAAAGTGCAATTCGCAAAGGGGAGGGGAAAAGTAGTGTAAGTTAATAAGCTATGCTTCCACCAACAATCATTCAAGTACATCTGAAAAGAAAATGAAAAGTCAGACGGTGGGGAAAAGTAGGGACTAGTTAAGCTTTCACATTTTCACAAAAAAGACTTAATGAGCCACCTGGAAGATGATTTAAACTTTTTACCTTGTGTACTCAGTATTCTGATTTAACAACATTTTCCATGCATATGGAAATAATCAATTATGATGACACTTTTAGAAATTTTCATCTCATTATTCCTTCTTAAGAAGGTTGCTACCAGACGGGCACCCAGCGTTAAAAATTGCCACTGTGTATGAGTTTATAGTGTTAGATAATGTTGTAAAATGAATTAGAACTACTCCCTCTGTCCCAAATTAATCGTCCCGGTTTGACTTCACGGAGTTTAAGAAAAGTGTTGAAAAGTAAAAAGTGAGTGATTGAAATTTGATTAGAGGAAAGAGAAAGATTGTGGATCACATATTCTTTACTTTATTAGAAAAGTAAAGAAGTGAGACAATTATTTTGGGATGAACTGAAAAGGAAAATGAGATGATTAATTTAGAATGGAGGAAACATAAATATAATGCCACCAACCCCAACTAACTGGGATTAAGGCGGTCTGTCTTTTTGGAGAAGGGAAAATCAAAAGCTATTCAATGAGAAGACTAACCATATCTCAGAAAAGGTTGGCCACTAGGTTTCTTCTCTGCTAGATATGTTGCAAGCTGAGTATCACCAAGTTCAACCAGTCCAGTATTAGCAACTCCATCTAGCAATTCAACTGCAGAATTTAACACCAGAAAGAAGAAATCATAGACTTTAAAAGTTGCACTAAATTCATGAGAGAAACACACTATGAAAAAAGATAATCCTACCAATTCTCTTCCACTTGGGTAAAAACTGATTGCATTGTCCACTCCCAAAGGAAAAAATCTATGCAGCAATATGAGACAGTGATTAGCAAAGAAGCGAATTTAAGCCTTTGGATTCCCTTTTGTGTAAACACCAAGTAAGCAGTTACTTTTGTAAAACCTGAATGAACTTTCAAATTACAGTATGTGATTTTATTTGTAGTAGAGTAATTTAAAAATCATATGCTGTGAATTCATAACAAATACTGCAACACGTTAGGTGCTGGTTTGCCCTATTTGGAGCCTGCTTACTTCAAAAGCAGAAATTGGTTCAAACATTAAAAAATAAAAGAGGCTTTAGTAAGACCACATACAAGGGAACGCACTCTCTTCTAGCGGCTAGAGAACTTAAAGTAGGCCAAACAACCAAACATGCACTAAAAGTTTTTGCTTCCTACTTACTCCCCCCCATCCCATAAAAAGGTTTCACTTTTCCTTTTTCTGTCCCAAAAAAGGTTCCACGTTCTACTTTTTGGAAAAAAAAAATCTGTGGTCCTCATAATTTCTCTCTCCCCTACATCACATTCAACCATACAATTTAACTTTTCTTAATTTCCATGCTAGTCAAAGGTGGAACCTTTTATTGGGACGGAAGGAGTATATTTTAGCCTGAATAGCCACAAAAATTTGTTGATGTAGAATTATAGATAAAAAGAACAAGAAAACTAGACCTAGGAAAATTGAACCGACATGTTTTTGACCCGAGAGTCAGCCTGAAAATGTTAGATTTTGAACAAATAATTTGTTAATAACTAAACATCGAAGATGACTAAACCCGAAATGACTCACTAAAAATGGGTCAAACCTGATCGAACACGAATCAGACTTGACCGACCCTCTAAGGTAAGGATTTTTTTCAAAATCATATACTTTAGAATGAAATATAATGTGATTAAAATACAGAGCAATAATATACTCCCCCCATATGGGAATATCTTCCCAAATCACACTTTTGGATGTTCGAAAATGATCAGCAGGTTCTCATTTTTTAACACATAACCATAGCTACCCTTTTCATCCTTTCTCATTTCCACTCATATAAAAGATTTGCACAAGAGGCTAGCTTATAGGAATATATTGTTGTCATGATGGCATAAGCATTTGTCAATGATGTCAATGAGGTATCCTATGTAGCGCCAACACTTACCCCATAGGATGACCAATTTTATTATGAAAAAATCAAACCCTATTGCAAAATCTCGTTGTATTTAGCAGCAAGGCATATTCCCCATACAAGTTAAAATACGGAGTATACTACTCCAAATAAATAAAATGTGCCACCGTATGGCAAAATTAACACACCTGAACAAGAAATGCTTTGTTACTCTCATGCATGGACACAAACTTGTCGGGGTTAATGAGACTATAATCGTAATCTTTCAGTTCTGCAAAGACAAAATATACATGTCACACAAAAAAACTCAAAAAGGAAGCCTCATCCGATGAAAAGGACCCCATAAAAGGAAGCAATCTTTTTGCTTTAAAGGGGATGTATGTTTGTTCAAAATCATTAGTAAATGAGCCTATGTAATCACCAAAAGAAACAGGTGCAATCAGAGGAAGGCGGATTTCAGATATGCTTGTCCAATTTTCTTGCACCTTTGCCCTTTCAGTTACATCCTATGCAATGCAACAATAGGCCAACAGCCAATAAGCCATTAACAAGAGGAAAAGTCTACGACATCAGGGAACAAAACGTTTAGAAAAGGAATGCAAGAAAGATTGAACTCCGATTTGTCAACAGCTCAAATAGGTCATAATAAAATAAGATCTAAAGTGAAGGCTTTAAAAAAACTCACAAACTGCTCATCAATACCAAATAGGTCATAATCTCTTTTCCATATCTGATTTGTCAACAGCTCAAATGCATACCGAACCTGGTAGGAGTAACAATAAAGTATATATAATGGAAATAGAAGTAATAAAACAGAGTGATGCTGTATATACTCTAAGGAAAAATCCATTTGGGGCCCTATGGCGCTACGTTGTGTCTGAGGAAAAGTCCTACCCACTAACGTCCCCCCTACCCTATCCCCATGTTAGACGCCGGTTCCCATCGACGCCAACCAA